ATTTTGGGTTGTTTCAATTTCGTCACAGATTTACCTACTATCAGTGTTTTTAGTTCTAAAGGAATTTTTCATGAGCAGCAAATTGTTTGAAACTATTTTTCTATTTTTAGGTGGCTGACAGCGGAAAGCCTCAACTGCTCTCATCCACATTCATCAGCATCAAAGTCATTGAAGAAAGCATTTACCCTCCAGCTATTCTTCCACTAGAAGTCTTCATCACCACCCATGGGGATGAGTACTCTGGGGGAGTCCTTGGAAAGATCCATGCTACAGACCAGGACATTTATGATACCCTGACTTACAGCCTGGTGTCTAAATCTGGGAATCTGTTCTCTGTCTCAAGCGCCAATGGGAAACTCATAGCCAGCAAAGGGCTGGATGTCGGGCACTATCCTCTCAATGTCACGGTTACAGATGGAAGGTTTACTGTGGCTGCCAACATCAACGTGTACGTCAAGCAAGTCACCCAGCAGATGCTAAACAACTCTGTTGCCGTTAGATTCGCCAACATCGCGCCGGAGGAGTTCATTGGGGACTACTGGCGCAACTTCCAGAGGGCCCTGAGGAACATCGCAGGGGTGAAAAGACACGACATTCAGATTGTCAGCCTGCAGCCCGCGGAGCCTCCCTCTCACCTGGACGTGCTGCTCGTCATGGAGAAGACAGGAAGCCCTCACCAGTCACACGAGGTTCTGTACCGAAAGCTCAACACTTCCATCGCGCTCGTCGAGGAGATGACTGGTGTGCGAATTGTCAAAGTCATTAAGAAACTTTGCTCTGGGCTGGAGTGTCCCCTGAGATTCTGTGATGAAATAATTACTCTGGACAAGAATGTCATGTCAACCTACAGCACTGCCAGGCTGAGTTTCGTCACCCCACGGCATCAGAGGTCTGCGATGTGTCTCTGTAAAGGTGAGCTAGTGTCACGCCAGGGAGGTGACTACCTTTACATTGCAATTAAAGATTTCTTCCCTAACTGTACATGTATTTTTGTACCGTTGCAGGTGGTAAATGCCCTGTGTTGAGTAAGCTCTGTGAAGGCGTTCCTTGCCCTGAAGGTACCGAGTGTGTCGCTGATCCAAAGGAAGGAAAACACAGCTGCGTGTGCACGGACGGCAAACATGGAAAGTGTTCCGGTAAGATCAGCCCCGCTTCTTGTTCCGAGGCAGCAAGACTCTTTCTCTGCTTCACGAATCTTGAGAAAGAACCTCGAAAGTGAAAGAGATCGCCTTTGCCGTTTACATTTCAAGGCTGATTTGTGCAGGCATTGCTTTGCTTCCCCAAACTAGGCAACATTTTGTAGTGTCTGTTCATGGTTAATTAACAAGGAATAGGGAAAAATCCTATAAGAAGAATTTAAATATATATTGAGATTTAGTGAATTAACTGGTTATGCATTCAATGGAAGTTAGGTATGACTTAAAAATGTTTGGCATGAAAATCATAGACTCTTAAATGTAAAGTGTTAATCCAGTGTTTTCTAGTTTTTCCATTGGGTAGGGCAATTTCCGCAGGTAACATTACATGCGCACGTTTCATATGAGCTTTCCTCTTTAACCTTTTGCTCTTGCTGTTTTAGGCGGTGTTTCACTGACATTCAGTGGGAACAGCTACGTCAAGTACCGTCTCTCGGAGAGTGAAAACAAGGAGGAAATGAAGCTCTCCCTGAAGCTAAGAACATACTCGACCCATGCAACTGTAATGTACGCAAAAGGAACTGACTACAGTATTCTGGAGGTATATAAAGACTGATTCAAACTTTTTTTTGGCAAACGATCATAATGTAGTATAGAAACTTTTAACGTTCTCTCGGTAGAAAGTGTTCACATGGACGTTGTGGACAGCTGTACTACTATTTTAACAGCCCCTTTTAGCCCAGGGAAGCACGAGAGTTTCCCACAGCAAGTCTTAATGAACCAAGTTCCTTGTGTTTTTAATTTCAGATCAGCAATGGTCGACTGCAGTACAAGTTCGACTGTGGCAGCGGTCCAGGCATCGTTTCGGTGCACAGCATCCAGGTCAGCGACGGCGAGTGGCACTCCGTGTCCCTGGAGGTGGACGGGAACTACGCGAAGCTGGTCCTGGACCGGGTCCACACGGCCTCGGGAACAGCGCCGGGCACCCTGCGCACCCTCAACCTGGATAACTTCGTCTTCTTCGGGGGCCACGCCCGCCAGCAGGGGTCGCGCCACGGCAGGAGCGCGCCGGTCAGCAGCGGGCTCAGGGGCTGCATGGAGTCCATCTTCCTGAACGGGCAAGAGCTTCCTCTGAGCAGCAAGCCCAGGCCCTACGCGGTGATGGAAGAGATGGTGGACGTGGCGCCCGGCTGCACCGTGGTCCCAGCAGAAGGCTGTTCCAGTAATCCTTGTACCAATGGCGGGATCTGCTCCTCACTCCCGAATGGAGGTACGCCGGTTTTAAAAAACGGTAGATTGTATATCCCCTTGCGTAGGACCGAAAGAACTGCGTTTGCCTGCAAGATGTTAACGCGTTTCTTTTCCTTAGGTTACTTCTGTAAATGCAGTGCCTTATTCATGGGGACACACTGTGAAATTGGTGTGAGTGCTTGTGCTTCCAACCCGTGTCTCTATGGAGGAACGTGTATCCCCGTCCACGACGACTTCGTGTGCCAATGTAGGGGGCAATATTCCGGCCAGAGGTACTGTCTTTCAGTCTGTTGAGCCATATTGCAGCTCTTGCTTTGTTTCATCAAGTATGATTTCGGATAAATGAGATGTCATTGGATTGTGGGGGAAAAAAGGAAAAACAACTTTACAGGGTTTGTCTGTCTTGTTTGGGCCTACCATCTGAAGACTGGGCATGACAGCCTGTAGAAGAATTGCAAACCTATAAATAAGCTTTAAGCTCTAAGAATAGGTCAGGTCCGTCTGCCGGCTCAAAAATGATTTGCGGTGAGTTTGTGACCCGAGTCCTCTGTTTGTCTGTGTCTTTAGGTGCCAGCTGGGCCCCTACTGTAAAGATAATCCCTGCAAAAACAGTGGCAAATGTATCGACAGTCTGGATGGTCCCGTTTGTGAGTGTGAGCCCGGTTTTCATGGGGAAAGGTAGGTATCTGTCTTAGAGTTTATGCGTACACTGCTTGTTTCAATGCAGCTTTTTCTCCCCCCACCCCCTCCCCTGCTCTCCAAACCGAACGCAGAAACCGTCTTCTCTCTCGCCAGGTGCCTCAATGACATTGACGAATGTGTCAAAAACCCCTGCTCGAACGGAGGCCTTTGCGAAAACACCTACGGCTCCTACCGCTGTAACTGCAGCCTGGGATACGGCGGGGCGCTCTGCGAGAGCGCCGTGCTGGTCAAAAACGAGTTCATTTCCACCTCGTGGAACATCGGTTTGGAAGAGGTCGTAGGGATCATAGTCTTTGTGGTGAGCATCTTCGTCCTGGTCCTGCTCTTCGTCGTCTTCCGCAAGCGGGTGTGCAGGTCCCGGAAGCCCAAGCTGGAGGAGGAGAAACAAGCTGGGGTCACCAGCTCCTTCTTGCAGCGACCGTACTTCGATTCCAAGCTGAGCAAGAACGTGTATTCGGACGTCCCTCCCCAAGTTCCCGTGCGCCCCATCTCCTACACCCCGAGCATACCCAGCGATTCCAGGAACAACCTGGACAGGAATTCCTTTGAGGGCTCTGCCATCCCAGAGCACCCGGAGTTCAGCACCTTCAACCCCGACTCCATGCATGGGCACAGGAAAACAGTGGCTGTCTGCAGTGTGGCTCCCAATCTCCCTCCTCCCCCCCCCTCCAACTCTCCGTCCGACAGCGATTCCATTCAGAAGCCCAGCTGGGACTACGACTATGACGGTACGTTTGTTTTCGAGTTTTATATGCATAAAGGGGGAAACTGTTAATGAAGTCTTCATTATTAATTAACCGACGATTGATGTCAGGAAGGAATGTGTTTTCCATTATAAATGATTTATGCCTGAATCACTCTCATTTCTTATGATTGAACTAATTGCTGTCTTAACCTATTAATTATTTACTTTGTGACTGATGTCGCCTCCTTTAGTACTACTCCTTAAATGTTAAGACTGAGCGAGATGGATTGGTGATGTGCTCTGCAGAGGGCTGCCTTAAATTCTGCTGAATAGACCTGATTCAGGATTAGGAATGTATGTTGTACGGAAAGAAAGTCACAGTATGTTTGTGAGAATACTGTTTAAAAAATTAGTTAAGTCGTAGTATGATTATTTTATTGGCTTCCAGTTAAAAATTAAAGAAGACATTGTACTTAGTTTTTAAGAAAGCAATGAACCTATTTCTGTAGTACTGCAGAACTACAACAAAGTCCGACTTTGACTTTGTAATATTTGTAGGAATTACACATGTAGTGCATTTGAACCCTGAATTTTTTTTAACAGTCTATCTGTCCCTCCATGTCATGGTACTGTTCATTGTCTGGGCTCCACCTGAATCAGTTTAGGACTAAAGTGCTAAGTTTGAAAGCCAGTTGAAATATAAAATGGGGAACATTTAAAAATGATTGTAATAAATACATGTAACTGTTCTGCTGCAAGCTGTCACCCAACATGAATTTTTTATGATCCCCCTTTCCAGCTAAAGTTGTTGATCTGGATCCCTGCTTGTCAAAGAAACCAGTGGAGGACAGTGCTTGTCACCCATACAACACGCGAGGAAGCATGTCAGAAGTCCAATCTCTCAGTTCCTTTCAGTCAGAGTCTTGTGATGACAATGGTACGTATTTAGAGATTTACCAACGGATGAAAGTTTTTTTTTTTTCCTCTAGGTCAAATATTAAATTAATATTAAATATTAAATCTGTAACAAAGTATCCATAAGATATTCTATGGAAGGTGTAGAAGAGTTTGTAACTCAACTTTAAAATAATGTGTTGAAGGAAATGTGCTCCCTTATGCTGTCTGAAATAATAGAAATTTCTAAGCATGTTAAATCCTTTTAACATCGTCAGCAAATACCTTAAATTGAAAAGAAATTCTGGCTGCCAAAAGAATCCGGTTCACTTTAAGCTTATCCCTGTTACATGAAACTTTTTCCCTCATTTCACTCAAAACCATGTTTCCATATGAAAAGGTGACTATGGGTCATTTGTTCCTTTTTCTTCCTTTGCTGCGGCTTCAGCTCCCATATGGATCAAATCTCTCCACAGAACGAGAGCAGGGTTTAACTAGGGGCTGCTTGTAAGTCCGATTTACACCGGTAAAGAAGGAAGTTGCCTAAGAGGCTCTGAGATTCTCCAGTGATAAAAAGCTTTTCCTGTCTGTGTCCCACAGCACACATCCTTGCTTGAAACAATGCGTAGTGCACATGTTCTCAATATCTGATCCTGAAGTCAACTTTGTCATTGCCACTAGAGAGGATCTTGGCAAAGCTTTGCTGTGCAGCTAATTTAAAGGTCCTATGATCATTTTAACTGACGTTTTGGAAATTAATCAAAGCAGCGAACAGATGTTTGGAGAGCAGCAAAAAAAAAGAAAACAAAAGGTTTTGCCGCACCAGCTGTATCATTGTTACATTAAAGGTCATGTTTCGTTTCAGCTAGAAAGTATTGCACACATTGCACAGGAATTGTATTCCCTTCCTGTTGTGGTTATATGGTCATGTACATGTGTACTTTTATTGACCCCTTAATCCGCAGACCATGTTATATAAATACATTTTTGGAGTGCAGGTGTTATGACAAAACCTATAACTCAACTCATTGTTTTTCACATTAAATCACCCTTGGTCTTTAAGAAGTGTTCGCTGGGCTCCCAGTAATGGGAACTCTCTAACTGGACAGATTGTACTCTGTGGCCCAGGCCTCATGAGTTTAAGCCAGGAATCAAAGATGTTCAAGTGAAACTGGGAATGTTTGTGTGGTCAGCCAGAAATCACCTTCAGCTATATACACATACTAACCTGAGGAAAGGCATTTTTATCCTGGAAAATTTTGCGGCTTCTTCCTTCAGTACTGTAAATACCATTGTGAGCATCTCAGTGCTGTATACGTGTATGTTACCTTGTATAAGACAAGTCCTCATCTTATGTTTTAAGTCTGTGTTGTGATTAGCTGTGAAAACCCAGACATGTAGTATAGATTCCCTTTAGTATTTGATGTAAAATTGGAAAAGTTTAGATTTATATCAAGAAATACTGCCAGTGAAGCAAAGGAAAATTTATGGGTACTGCATATTTCAGTTGATTTCAATTTTTATATCCCAACTAAGTAAGATTTCCATTGTTACTGAAGAATATGTACTAATGGTAGATTTCTTATTTGCTCCTTCCCTACCTTTTTACTAGCCTCCATAGTGACTGTAATACACCTTGTCAATTCTGTTGTTGACTCGGTGGAGAGAGAAGGTATTCTTTTTACCTCATACATAGTTGTCTGTGGTCTTCTGTGTGTAGTGCTGTCTTTAGTTTTGTGACATAGAATAAGCTTCAAACGTGCCCTTTACTTATTCAGAAATCAACAATTACAGTACGTGTTGGTTGCGCTGCTGCTTTCATTGGCTCTCTGGAGTCAGTATTAGAATAACAGCACAGATCAGTGCATCAGAGCTAAAATCAACATACAAAAAATATTTAATTCTGGTGTCAAAAGCACTTGGTGAAAAGAGAAGCCCAATACAGCTGACGTTCAGACTGTATAAGTGTCTGATTAAGTAAATGGCAGAACCCATTCTCAGTCATTCGGGAGTGTGATAAACAGAGGTTTGAAGGCCTCTTCTCTTCGTGTTTTCCTCTCCTGTTCCTGATTATCTCTTGATGCTGGACCTGAAATGTTTTCTTCTTCTCTTTCTCTGCCGTCTAAAGAGTCTTTCGCGGCTCATGACCTCAAGAACCCAAGAGGTGACTTTTGCATGAATTTCTTTGTGTGTTAGATGCTAATCTCACTCACCTTTCACTGTAATGTGCTTATGTGCTTACCGTAGCGAATAAAACAGTGTTGATTAGACAAGGGGCCGCAGTAGGTGTTGTGGTTTCAAGTAAAACAAAATACAGCTTTAAGCATTGTTTAACCACTGTTCCACTCAACCTGTCAAATCACTTCTGATTAAAAAAGGTAGAGGATAAAGAGATCTTGATGTGGACTGTTGAACCAGTGCAAGGCTGTCATTAATGGCATCTGTAATGTTACCCAGATCACACACACCCTGTAATGCAGTTTTCCAACAGCACTGAAAACCAGGCATAGGTGGGCTCACTGCTCCTCTTATCAGCTGTCTGCAGATTAAGTTTTCAATACATGTCTTTGTACACAGGAGTTGTGTTCCCAAGCTTGAACTAATGCAGCTTAACACACTGGTGTGATAATGATGATGCATGATTTTGGGAATCTTGAAATAAAAACAGATTTGTGTTGTCGTACTTCATATGGGTGACCTGATCAGCTGACAGTAGGGCTCCCATCAGAGTACCGATATATATACATATATATTTTTTAATATGTGCTTCAGATATCAAAAAGAAGAGTTTCTGACGGCTGTCTTGCATTGCGCAGGTTACCACTGGGACACCTCAGATTGGATGCCAAGTGTCCAGCTTCCGGGGATCCAGGAGTTCCCACAGTTCGAGGTTGTGGAAGCACCGGCCCCTCTGTATAGTGACCCCAACGTAATTGACACTGACTACTACCCGGGGGGCTACGACATCGAGAGTGATTTCCCGCCGCCCCCGGAGGACTTCCCCGTTCGCGACGAGCTGCCCCCCCTGCCCGAGTACGCCGACCAGTACGAGACAGTACAGCCCCCCGGGGACACGCCCCCCTCCGGCAGCCCCGGCTCTTCCGCCCGGGGCAGGCCGCCGCACTACAGCCTCGGCCAGTACCTCCCGCACCACCACTACCCCGCGGACCTGCCGGACGCCCAGAGCGCCGCCGTGGGGCCGGGCGGCTACAGGGGGGTGTTCCCCGCGTACGCCCTGGGGTACGGCCGGGATTTCGAGGCGCCCAGCGTGGACAACATGTCGATGTCTTTGTACACCTCCACGGCCTCCTGCTCCGACATGTCGGCGTGCTGCGAGGAGTCCGAGGTCATGATGAGCGACTACGAAAGTGGGGATGAAGGCCACTTCGACGACGTGGCCATTCCCCCGCTGGACTCCCAGCAGCACACCGAGGTCTGACACTGTATCCAAACGAAAGTGCCTGGAGCGGAGGGAGCGGGAAAAAAAAACGACGCCCGCACACCGCGTGCGCGCCCGCACACGCCCGCACCCCCGCGAGCGCGTGTGCGCGCGCGCAAGCTCGATTCCCGCGATAACGCCGAGAGTAGTCGATCCCGCGCTTCTCTTCTTTTGCAAAGACTGCTTGCGAGCTGTTCTCGCTAAGCCTGTGGCGGCACTGGATCATGCAGCTCCCACTCCACACGTCCCTGCATCTCCTGCAGCATCTCCCATGGAACTGAAAACCGGATTTGATTTTTCACTGGCTGTGCCATTGGCTTAGTGTTCGTCATCCTGCGCAAACTTTGAAGGAGTTCTGAACAGGCGTACAATTGTGAACGAGAAAATCAAGCGATATCTGTATTTATATAGTTATAACAATGCAGAGACTAATTTTTTTTAAAAAAAACAAATCTCATTCGTTTTATGTAAATTTTAATGTACAGTTTTGATTTCAAGTTTTACTAGGTTTTGTAGATATTTTATGTTTTTTTTTCCCCAAAAAAAAAACAGTTTTGTGGTGTGACATTATATCAGCCTTACTTTATCACTGAATATTTTCATAAACACGTACGATAAAAACAGCTTGTCAGATACGGTCTGTGTATGTGTAACATTGATAATTGAGGGTCTTAAATGAGTGACTGCATTTGTTCTTTCATTCCGTATTATTTTAATATTTTTTTGTAAACTGAAGCTGTAAACCTTTTTTTTTCCAAACAAACATGGGACCCAATGTATTTATAGTGCAGAATTCATCCTTGGCACAGGTTTTTAAAAGTGTCTGTATGTGTGAGAGATGGAATGGTCTTGTAAAGGTTTTTATCAGGTACTGCCATTAGCTCACTCTTTCCTACTGGCAATAAATTATTAATAAAAACATGTGTTTTTAATGCTTTTCAAACCACAGTATGACTAAAAGTGTTTAAACAAGTTCTTGCTACCCATGGAGCTATAAAAATCATTGATGTGTTTTTTTTTCGTTGACATTTTACATCTCCTGTTTCAGGAGGTCACAGTGCCCGTTTCCATCAGTAGCAGGTATGCATCTGTTCAGCCATGTAATAACGTTCTTCAAACGTTGTTTCAGCTCGTTGTCGGTAGAAAGGAGTTCTAGAAAGAGTTCAAGCAGGGAGCTGCGTCAGCATGCGGTGGCTGCAAAGGAACAAGTAAAAGTTTATTCCTGTTGGAAAGAGAAGAAAGAAAACGCCCGAAGAAGGCTCCACTGCCGAAACATTTTCTTTTTTTCTCTTTTCAGTGTGAAATAAACCTTTACTTGTTCAGTTCTAGAAAGATACCTATTATTGTACCATTATCAGTCTTTTAAGCCAATTCCTAAGACACAGTGTCTTCTGGTTTTTGTTCCATTACGTAATTACACAATAATAATGAACATGATTGGTCGAATTATTTAATTAACTGTGTAATACTTTCCACCAAACTCTGCGTATTTTTATAGATGACTAACTGCACCTTTAATGAAACTCATGTTTTGAGATTTGATCAGATGTGTTAAGAAACTTCCAACTGACGGGTGGAACAAAAAAAAAGTAAAAACTAAACTCTGCTCACCATAATAAAATAATTTGGTCAAAATTGATTAAAAAATAATGAAATGTAAAACTCATACAGCAATAATTAATATAAACAGATCTGGCCCTATAATCAAATTGCTCAAATCCTTATTGGCCATCATTTCAACTTGTACTTGTGATTATTATTTATGTTTATATGGAAATTCACCCTTTTTATTTAAAACAACCAGATCAGTGGACAGATATGACTAATATCAGTGAAAACTAAGACACTTTCACTTTTTCAGGCACTTATTTGTCTGTCTGTCATGGGACATGAGGAAAGCTCAGAGTTCCAGCTGTGATCCTGAGCTGAGAGTATCTTTCACTAAACCACTAAACCAAAATATGTATTGTTTGTTTAAATCTTAAAATGTAAAAGTATTGTATTATTAGAGTTATCTTTTTATGTGGCACACAGCTGGTATAGAAACCTAGTTGCATAATGCTGTATGGGAAGTCAGACACCCCCATTATTAAAGTGTTCAGTCGCGTGTTTCCAGGGTCAGATCTGAATGACTTGCCCCTGCGTGGTGCAGTGTTGTAAATATCCAAGCCTTGTTGGTATTAGTCTGCTCGTTCTCTTGTGAATCAGGGAGGTAAAAAGCCTCGTGCTATAATGAGGTAATAAGCGTTCTTCCAAAGGGAGGTTGGGCAGTACTTTTAGAAGGCTGCTTCCTTTCATTGCATAAAAAAACCTGTGAAACAAAGCCTGAGATTTGAAAAGGAACGTTATTTGTTCTTTGATATCTTGTTTGCATAATGCCAATTTATCAGAGCCATTATAAAATTAATTCTATCTCGAAATGTGCCAGAAAAAAAATATGAATGTGTTTGAGAGAGTCTTTTAGATTTTTGAAAACCAAAACTAGATTCATACCAAAAACAGGCACGAGAAATTTCAAAGAGGTACTTCCAAGAGGACGGGAACCGGGAGGGAGATTTCAAGACGAGGTGACGGGAGAGTTTTTCTTTTTTCATGAACAGCACGGACCCTGTGAGATGAAATGTCACGGTGACCTTCATTGCAGGGGACATTGCAGTCACTGGTGACTGCAGTAAACAGAAAGATTTCCTTTGAAGTGTAACCCTTGCTCCACTCTGCCTATCTTCAAAAGGTTAACTTCAGCTAATGAAAATTCTTGACTGAATGCCAAGACCAACTTAAATTGTGTTTGGCTTAAAGCCCAAAGCTAGCAAACTTTTAGAAAGTGTCAAAAGTAACGACGGTCTAGAAAACATCATCGGGATTCCACAGATGGTTTGTTTTAGTACACTGAGGACCACGTGGAGGGGTAGTTCAATTATTTTCTTAGCTTCTAAAACAGATGCAGTGAAGACGTATGCTCTTTTCTATTAGATGATAACCAGGTAAGGTGTGTTTAAAACTATAAGGCATTCAGCATACTAATAATGGATAAGTGGAAGTTAAACCACTAATTACATTCTTCTATCCTGTATAGAGACACTTTAATATGTTGCCACAGTCTGCCCAAGTAAAAAGTATAAGATCTTCAAATCCCTTTGTTGAAAGCCAAAACCGTTATCTCACAGCACAAGTGTGTAATAAATGGCAATGATCTGCAACATTTATAGCAAACAAAGGCTATAAATGTGACAAATGTACATTCGGCAATTTATCATTAACCTTCCGAATTGAAGCTGTGAGAGCTTATATAGTGAGATACATTTTCTTGTGTGCAGTATTGTGTTTCTTCCTACAAGTTTCCGTCCTCTTGGAAATACTTATCCAAAATTTGTCGTGTCTGTTTCTGGTATGAATCAGGGACTGTATTGTCCAAAAGAGAGACGTTCTGAGACACAGAATGGAATAATTAAAGTAATAACAATTATGATTCTTTTCCATTTGTATAAGTCGTTTCCCCCCAAAAAACACCCTGTAGCGCTCCACATCCAGGAAGTGACTCATTGCAGGTAATCCAGTACAACCCAGGCAATACAAACATTGAAATGCATCTTGGAGACCCGGGCTCAGTGTCAGTGTGCACTCTGAATGAGTGCTTCACTGGTTTAGTCCTTGTGAGGCCGGAGTGGAGCCTTCTGGGAGTCGGTGCCAAAGTTCCAGGGGTGTTCCCCTAGGGTAACCCCTGAGTAGCACCTAGAGCTTGCAGAAAAATGTACACAGGTCCTTTACGTAAGAGCCCTGCAGATGACACCATGAATGTAAGGTCGAGCCTCACAGCACAATCTTTTCATTTGATCAGCCAACTCTGGTTTCCCTGCTCTTTCCTCATTCTGCAGTAGCATCTGATAAGGTATATAATGTGACTTCCCACCTTGTGTCTGATACCTCAGCTGTCCCCTTCATTTTGTGTTTTGAAGTGTTCATTATACTTTGCACACCTCTTAGGCCTCCAAATTAATAATGATCAGAATCTCTTAAGGTCAACAGCTGAAAACGGAGATGATTCCTTTGGGATTTTTTTTTCCAGAATTAATTAAGTTTGGAGACGCACAGTATAGAAACAATTGCACTGGTTATCAGTAGTGTGTAAGACTACTAGTTGTTTTTTTCATAGAGAACACCACATCAAAATTATATACAGTGATGGTACTGAAGGTTTAGCTCGACATAAACTTCAAGGAATAATTAAATGTATGCAAAAAGCTTTCTTAACTGTAAATAGTAATACAGTTTAGGAAAATGAAAAAAAAACATTTACAACAAATATTGCATAAAAATACATTGACTGGGTGATAATCAATACAATTTGAAAGTACACCTTGTTGCTAGGCATATGAAAGTCTTCATTCTCCACTAGAAAATTCTGCATTACAAAAACACGAAATGAAAACAAGGCACGGTCCCATTATTTTCAAAGTTATACAGTACGTGTTGCCTCTCTTATACTGCAGATAACTGTCATGCACAGCACTGTATTCCACAGTGAGAAGCATCATGAGCTCTTGCTGTATTGAATGTTCGCCACAAGATGGTAGTGTATCATCGTCACAGACCCAGACTCATTACACTCGCGATTCGCGGTAGAAGTGTTTTAAATCTTCAGGGATGTGGAAACAGAGGAGGGTTTCTGTTACATTAACACTTACAAGTTTACAGGCTGCCAAAAATGTTGCCGTGTCAAAGTGAAGGGTATACGTTTTATACTGCTTCAAATAAAGTCCCATCTAGGACATTTCTCACGCACGCGGTGCAACACCGTGGAGCATTTTATCAAGACAAGACGAGGGTTACAAAGTTTGACTTGAACAGGTACAGTAATTCCCCTCGGAGGTACAACAGCTGGTGCATTTCACCAGTCTGTGCAGCGTGCACGGGAGACAGCAGCGACTGTGGTGTTCCCGAGTGAATGATACAAATTAGTGGAAAATTGTTTTGGAATGCTTAGAAAATATTTCAGTCCAGCTTTAGACTTAAACATCGATATACCAGAAATCGTCCTAGCATGACGACCCCAACCTCCTCCCCAAAATGACACGTTTAATCTTTTTTACTTGGGCATTCTGCTTGGTTATCGTCAGTGCTCCTGTCAATAAATTACGCATTTTAACCGTGGCACTGAGGTCAGATGTACAGTACAATCGCTCAACATACAGCACAAACTGCATTCCGCGGTGCCAGCTACAGTACATCAATTAACCTCAGGTTAGTGTTCATTAACTTGTTGCTGTTGTTATTTTGCTGTGTCAGGGCTACTGCAGTGAATCTTTAACCGCCGATGTTGCTCTGCCTAGGTTCCGTTGTTCAGACACAAACGCTCTGAATCGTCTGTGGGTGGGAGCGAGTGTCTGATTCCAACAAATTTATAGACTGGATCCTCGCATCTAGTCATGCTGACTTTACCGACACTATTTCCAGAAATGAAAAAGGGTGTCTACTAATAAGGAAGAGACTCCTTCAAGTTAACTAGCAATCACGTTAAATCTTTTCGACATCCCTGTCCTATAAATACACCTAGGATGCCGTGATATTAATAACCATGCAGGGGGGAAAATGAAAGAAAACACTGCTGTACCTTTGGCATGAAACAGATTTTTGCTGGTTTGGAGAGCAGGAGGACTGCTTCTGAGCAAGGTTTGACAATGTTTCTTGTTAGACGCTGACAATAGTTTAATTCTCTGACATGTTTTGACAGTCCCTTAAGGGTATGTAATACGTTTCTGGCTGTAACCAACAGTGGCAGGCCAGGTTTCGCAGTTTTATTGCGTGGTTATTTCTCTAGAGCGCTGCTTCCTCTGTAAAAAAGAAAAGGCTCGGAGGCGGTTTGTTTTCAGCGCCTTCGACCTGAAAGATGCCGAGAACGACGTCGCCATAGTGACGTGATTTTTATGTTTTTACATCAAATTTAGAACTTTATACTGTGTGTAGAGGCACAAAATGTTACTTGAAGGGTGAAATTCAAATATGCTTGTTAAAAAACAAATACTAACAGGCGTGCAAGGCCTTTATTAAATTAATATTTCTTTTTAGATTCTACGTGTTTAACGTAAAGGTATGTATGTAAATCTATGCTATATTTATCGCTTTATACACATATCGGAGGCCTCAGTCAGGATCTGGACCTGTCTAGGGGGTTTTCAGTCTAACTGGACTCTCAAATACTTTATTGGCTTAATTATTAAAATGAATGAGATGAGCTTTTATTGAAGCACAGTGACTCTACTACGAAAACCTCTTCTGTTGTCTTGCCAAAGTTTTAAAGTTTCATACACTAGACAGCCATTAATCAGGATAAGCCAAGTACCCAAGTGCTGGTGTTTTAAAAAAAAAACCTTCGAAAACCTGCAAACGCATTTTTACTTTAGGAAGCACTTGAACTTTGAGCGGATGCCCTGACCAGCATTTGAGTATCCCTGTTTTTAATGAGTTTCCTCATTAAAAGAGACATGACTGAATATCTCATTTTTACGTTTGAACGTACTGTATATGATCGCAACGTTTGCTTACATTCATTATGCTGTTTGTGTGCTTGTGAGGAGGAGAAGTAGGAAGACAAGGCTGGTGGAGAAGGATGGATGTATGATGTGAAAAACTGGCGGTTCGTACATTTCTGGAGGCCAGTCGCTTGGAATTGCGTGAGCATTGTTCTGTCATCGTAGTTATGGCGATAGACCCGGTGAAATGATAATGATCATGATGAGGAAAAAAAGTAATCGAAAAAAGCAAATCTTCACACTTGCTGGACCAGATAACAGTAAAATAAGCACTTAGTAAAACTAAAACACATGGCTGCAAGGAGAACTGGGGTGAAGATCTTGGTGTCTAATGTCAGCTATTAAAAAAGCAATATTTTAATTGCATCCTAAGTGTTTCCTGCTGAAGAGCCGTAGTTATCCTATTTATTTATTTTTAATGGATCCAGGAAAATTGCCATTGTGGATATTTCTCAAGCCCTGTCTAATTTATGTAACGAGGCAGGAAACTGGTCTGAAAATAAGGTCTCGTTCTATCATGAAGTGACTTCAGATACTACGTTCTTGGAGGTGTTGCTAAAAATATTGGCAGTTGAACATCTGTTGTAGTCTCATTGGTTAAGTCAAGCCTACAGCTCTGTATCTTGGTTTATCATTGCGGCAGTTAAACAGCTGCTTTCTTCTCTCTTCTTTATCCCTGTTAACTGTACAGCATATTATCCCATTACCTCACCGCTTGACTTTCTTATTATACATTAACCTTACATTTGAAATTCAACGAATGGTATAAGTTGTTATCTCAACGATGTATCCTCCTAAAGATCACGACACGGAATCTCCCTCTGATAATGCATGTGAATTCATTAAAAGCTGGAGACGGTACGACCTAAGTACACAAGTACAGTATGTTGATCACCAACGGCAATTAGTGAAGAGCTCATTTAATGCGATTTTATTATAATGTTATGTCATTAGAATGATGTGGAACGTGCAGCCTGTGCTTCTGAATAGAACACCACTAATAATAACTGAAATGCATAGAAAAAAGATAGTAGACCTAGAGGATAAAATCTTTAAGTGCACCATAACTGCTTAGAGTGACGTTGGCGCAATACTGTAATCTCTGAGGTACCCTGGACACATACTGTACAGTAGTATACAGCAGGCCTTGACTCACAGTTCCTTAAGAGCAGACAGAGCTTATGAGCTTATAAGCAAATGGAACAGAGTAAGATACAGGAAGGAGGCCTCCCATCTATACCAGTACTGACCAGGCCCAGCTCTGCTTGGCTACTGAGACGAGATCAGACTGTGTGGTAAAATGGCTTTTAATGACCCTTGAATAGGAAACAAAGAGAGAACAGCTACACTGTATGTTTGAAACCTACAGAGACATGAACTTTCAGAGGCTAAGCACTGAACTTCCAGGAGAACTCAAAACCTGTTAACTGAGGTCGGATCTCCCTGCTGGGCTCTGCTAGATGACTTAGATCATAAGCCAAATGATAGCATAAAAAAGAAGGTTACAAAATAGCTATAGCAAGATCATTTTTTTATTGAAAATTTAAATAAGCTTTCTGTACGGATTTGAAATGACATGATAATGCACTGTTTTCAAGTCTCCTTATAATCAAATCACAATAGCTTTGGAAATTACTTTAATTTAAATATTACTTTAAATATCTATAAGTCAGAAAACACCTGATACAACATGATACATTTTATTGCATAAAATAAAATTTATTTTTATACAAGAAAAAGTGTCAAGTGTCATTTCACAGAACATGCTTACATAAGCTATAGCACATTAAAACAATTCTTAAGTTCCAAGTAAGATGTTTGTTAATGTAATATGAGATACATACAGTACAGTACTTCTGTGAACTTTTGTCTGGTTTCCCACATCAGTAAACTTGAGCCTGACTGCAGAGTTCTGAAGTTGTCTACTTCCTTTGCACATAAATGAATGCATTGCAACAAATAAAGTACACGGTTAACATTTTTTTAATCTTTCCTTCATTTTTGTGAAGGCAGCAATCCTGTGAAGAATATTCAGTGTGGCCCTATTAACTTGTACCCGTCTCCAGAAGCAGGCAGGAGAGCTGCAGTTTCATTTAAAGAAAAATAACTTGGTAGCCTAGGGAAAGAAGAAGTGTTTATATTACTGTGGGTTGTTTTTTTTTTACAAACACATAATAGGATTTGACTCTTGGGGCTGCTGAAATCTTATATTAATATGAGTAATGTTAACAGCATAAATCTCCCATCAGATGATAGCCTAACCAAGACATTACACTGTCAGCCTGATAACATAACAGTCTGTGCCCCAGGTGGGCTGTCGAGCAGGTGAAGCAGAGCCACTATCCAATCAGCAGCCAGACACTGAAGCCAGGCATGCAGTAACGATCACAGAGGAGAGGGGCACACCGGGATCAGAGAGCTTGGTGATTGCAGGAGCTTTGCAGAGAGAACGTGCAGAAAGACCATGAATAAAAAGGTGAAACCTGTGGGGTAATGAAACTGTGGTTTACTGTATGTTAGGCTTGTAGGGTAGGTATATGGAACAGCTAACCCATCCTTCAAACAAGCCCGGAAAGAACATTATCGATACAGCTGTTCTCCCAAAAGGAAATGGGGTTTGCTTCATGGTTTATATGCCAAGGGACTGTGCTGAACACCGCGTGAAGGAAATACCTGCTGTTATTAAAATTCTTCATGTGGACAATCTCTCCCTTGCAGAAAAGGAGAAACCAAAATCCCAATTGATTAAAAATGGTATTGCCTCCTCTGGTGAAGATTGTGTGTGTCATAAAAACATCAAACATAAGCCAATAAACATATTTGTACACTGTTGCCAAATGAGTCAGCAATGCCTCCAGAGCAGGCAGGAGTGTAGAAGCTTTATTTAATGACAAGAGGCTCAGGGAAAGAAGAAGTGTTTCTATTACTGTTGTTTTTACTCAGTTAGTGTCTCTTTAGCTGTCTTATCCTTGGTGTCTGAAAGGGAAAATAAAAAAGTGTCATAAGGTACAATGATGCAGCTGTTTTTACAAATGTATGTTATTTGCTGAACAAACATAACACAGTTAAACGTTAATTACACTATAAAATGTATAGATTAACCCCACTGATTCTTTCCAACCTTTTATTGTTTTCACACAATAACAAATACACAGCTGACATTCGGGAGCCTACATACACTGTCCTTCGTGGACACCCACCTGCATCCTCACACTTGCTTGGGAAAGTGTGTACAGGGCACAGAAACACAGAGAGGACAGAGAAGAGACAGGAAAGAGGGGCAGTGCCTTGGGTCCCCTGGAATCTGTCAAGGAAGAGGTGCAGTGATACTTTCTATAAGGAATGGTTTGGAGGCATCAGGCTGCCAAGGGAAGAGTAAGAGATTCTAAGAGGAAGACCTGTTATTTATCACTCGAGCCACTAAGAACAGAGGTCTCACTTCCTCCAGTCTGAGAAGAGGCAGTACACAGAATCTCTGACCCAGTGAGTAGGAGAGGCCGGGGCAGCCTGAACTCGCTTCCCACAAGCCGAGGCAGTGGGCCAGTATCCAAGCACAAGCCTGGGCACTGGAGATCCTCCCTGTCTGTTAACGTAAGTTAATTAGTTAGGGGCTGACGTTTTCGTCTATACGTGATGGATGACTTACTCCCTCACCTCCTGTAGTTTCCAGTTCACTAACTAACTGATTAACCTTGTGCCCTTTGTGCTCGTCCTGACATTTTATGCCCGCCACCGCGAAAATGGAGTTTATAGGGGAAAGTTCGGGAGGAGAGAAAATGGCCACGTTCAATCAGACCCAGCCGTCAGTCGTTCGCAATCGCCCCTGACGTCATTTCTTCACATTTAAAAAAAGTTACTAAACGTCATCCAGTTATCACCTTCACCTGTCTCCTGGATCCCTGCTCCTCCTCGACTACGCGTCTCGGTCCCCTCGTCCGGAGGCCAGGAGCTCAGCCCTCTGCCAGGCGCGTTAAGGCACATTTTCCTGTGAGTAAAACACCCGACAAACCTTTCAGTACGCTTAGCTCTTGCTCTTGGTGAACATGGAGAGGAGAGCTTCAAGCAGAGAGCTGCGTCTGCATGCGTAGGCTGCACAGGAACAAGTAAAGGTTTATCCCCCGCTGGAAAGAGAAGGAGTCGGAGAAGGCTCCACAGCCGGAACGTCGTGTTTCTTTTCTTGTCTTTTCGGCGTGGCATAAACCTTTACTAGTTCCACTGAGAGAAGAGGCACGATTTGGTTTGCGTGAAGGCTATTGCTACCGACGGCCCTTTGCGGTACCTCTAGTTTCTAGTTGCCTGTCAGACTGGCCCGCTGCGATTGTCCTCGGGTCTTCAAAGAGTCAGCTCGGTTTTCATCACCCAGGAGGGACACTGGGACTCGGCGGACCTGCTGGAGCTCATCTGAAGCGCGACGTCGCCTTGTAAACTGTTTTCTCTTCCCTTTGCTCTCTATCTGGAAATCGGACATCCTGTACACTCGCTCTTTACTGGAAGCCAGTCGTGCAGTCCGCGTACCGTATTGTAATGTTAGGTTTCAGGTTTGGAAGAGGAACTGTGGGGCAGATGTGTTTCGCACGGAACCAGCCCAGGTTGCGCAAGTCTTTCAGGTTTACTGCCGATACCTTTTTCCTCATTATTGTTCTTAGTGGCAATCGCTGACTGTGACGCTGAGATTATGTCTCCTTAGAAAGAATTAAAATTTCCCACCACCCATTCATGGAAGTCGTGCACTTCAGGCTTCACATTTTTTTACGTGTTAAATTCAATGCATAGCTATTTAATTATGATTTACAACCCGGGGCAATTTTGACACATCTCTTTGTCTTTATATTTACTGCTAATAACAATAAACACGAGGTGTTTGCAGTTCGTTTTGTTCAGTTATTCGCTTTCCAATAGCCTAAAAGAAATCGATTGTTTTTCTTTATACAGTAGATTACAGCTGGTATTTTTTCTCCATGTACTTTCTCCATGTCTTTCCTCTTTTCCTGCCACAGACGAATGAATTAACCAATACCCGAATGAATAAAGCGTGCGCGACTGTGAAGTAATACTGGACGAGCACCCGAATCACTACTGATCTGTGGTTTGGGCGTGGAGAAGAGTGAACTACAGTAGCTGGAGGAATTCATAGACGTGGATAGGGTTCCGCTCCGGCATCTGCCGACTGTGTCCACAAGGGGGCAGCGCTTCCCCGGTGCTAGGCAGCTCCACTTCTATCACAAATCGAAGAAAGCCGAGAGGATAGCGCTGGATGTCACATACCAACAGTGTGATGGGCAGACACAAAGCTGTAACAGTGTAGTCTCCGACAACATGTGCACTTGAAACCCCCCCCCAAAAAAAAGTTAGCTGGCAAGCCGAGGATTTAAGTTACACCATGGCGACAGGAACAGGTCATTGCAGAACAACGCCTCAGCTTTGATTTCACATCTTAGAAGACACGCGGGACACATGATTTCTTTTGCTGATTGAGAAAGTAAAGTAGACAAGGTAAAATGAGAATAAATGGGAGCTATCTGAACACCACTTCACTGGTCCCCCGGGAGCTAACTTTGAATCGCCCCCCCTGGGTCGCTACGACTTTGGGCAGCTTTCTGATCTTTACAATCGTGGTTGATATTTTGGGAAACCTTTTGGTTATATTCTCCGTGTACAAGAACAAGAAACTAAGGAATGCAGGTAAGGGGGTAACACGTTTAGCAAGGTGTACCTTCATGTGGCAGGCCTGAATTCGCCATTGAATTGTAATGTTGATACTGCAGTTTAATTGTGACTTTGTTAGCACTGTTTATTATTATGATGATGCTGATGGTGATGATGCGATTTTGAAGGCGCATTTGAGTTCGTTTGAAGACTTTGACATTCCGGTTTACTGGCTATCCAAGTTCAAAAGTAATGGTCATCTCGTATGATGTTATTTCGTGATTTAAATGTTCTGCGAATGAACTGTACTCGACATCGTTATTTATGAACTTTCCTCCTGGATGGTTACTGGGTTTTCCGGAGATCCCTGTGGGGAAGACCCTTGGCATTTTTGTAAAGTGTTTTTTTTTTCCTTCCTTTTGCTAATAATTTAGATTTTTAATTCCAAAACTGCGAACTGATGCTAATGACGACGGATATGGGGGGAAGAAAGAAGTAAACGAATTAAGAAACCGCAGCTCTTTTTTTGTTTTCCAAAAAAAGAATAAACATGCCGAGTAAAAACATCAGGCGCTTGTTTTACCAAGCATAGAGCTAACTAACAAATGGGTTCAAGATTAACGACGCGTAAATTTAAAGTTTTCTTAATGCATTATTCACTTTCACTGTACTGTACATTCCGTATACCTGAGATTCTCTCCGTTGTCGGAAGACGTGGTGTGTCAGACTCGATGTGGCTGTGCAGATAACGAGGGGTGCTTGCCGAGCATGTTTTAGGGTAGTTAAGGCTGTCGCCGATTTTTTGTTTTCTCAAGTAGCGGAGCGGGATGCTGACGGGTTTGGTAAGCGGTGATCGGCGAGCAAATGTCAAAGGCGCGTATTTCCAGCGAGGGAGCAGGAGGCACATCTGTGAGCGAAGCAATGGGCAACATGTCAGGGTTCGCTAATTCAATGGCCAAGTGTGCGGTGGACAGCGAGCGATAAGATGCAATCCTTTAAGACGGGTGTCTTCGTTAGAAAAGCGCAGGTTTCATCTCATAATATGGCTCAGAAACACAACAAACCTACCGGGCAAAGCGTGAAGACGAAGACGGGCGCATGTCCCCCCCCCCTACGCTTGTAATGATACCTGATAATACAAAACCTCATTTTCTGTGCACGTCGTACTGTAGCTGAACCCAAACTAGAGCCCAGCGGCCAGATGCGACAACATCACTTCGCTGACATCGAGAAATGGCGAGACATTGCTGACGAGCAGAGTGTGCTGGAAACCGAAATACACGAACTAAGCAGTTCTGTCATTAAATAACGTCTTTTTTGTCCTTCCCCTGGACATCACCTATTCATAATACCTGTCATTTTGCCTTAAACCTGCGCTAAAGCACATAGTGCTGTTCAGGATCATGATATGTTTTTTCTCCTATTATGAAGAATTTCTTATATTAAGCCCCCCCAAAAGTAACACGGGACGAAATGAATAAACAGAAGATGGAGTGATTGAGCAAGCAAAACCGTAAAAGACTGATTTTAAATTGCAAATTATTCATTGGTGCTACTAATAAGTAAATGGCTACCCGTTTCCTTAATACCCGACACGATTGTGACCGTTATTACTGTTGTTATCAGTAGTCAGCTCGTACACGCAGTAGTTTCCATTGATCTGGTGGAGAAGTTATCTGTACAGTATGTCTAGAAATGTCAGCTGAAGGGAAAAGGAATTTGACAGGATTTACTTTCATCTGAGGCTTTTACCGAAATCAGCAATGATATTTATGAGAGGTCTGATATAGATTTTATCCATCAATATGAAATGCAGGGCGCACTCTTTCAGAAGTCCAGAGCTGTGGACACGATCTGAATTGTCTCGGTTTGTGTGGCGGCGGGGGGGGGGGTCCTGTCATGTGATGTCAGCTCTCTGTCCCGTTCATATCAATCTGACATTTAGAACTTGATAATTTTGACATCGCTCAGCGCAGCAGCAATAAAACAGTCAAGCACTCCAACAGATCTGTGGTTAATTAAACTGTGTGAGCAATGAAAAAACTCGGGATTAAGGGGGTTCACTTTTTGGACAACATATAGTAGAATATTTCCCATATTCCCTCTGAAGTTCTTAAAAGATCTTCTTCAGCAGTAGCACAAGAGCCACTTATATATTCTACATAATCTATTCACAAGCCAGCAGCTGTGTCCACAAATGAAAACTTCAGAGGATCTGTATATCATTAAATGAGGCAATGGTTACTGACGCCTGTACTAACCCCAAAGAGCTATTAAAAATTTAATAATTTTATTTAACTGCTGATTTTCTAGTTTCCTTGCTTTTCTGGTTTTCTGGGAAACAATTTTAAGCTTAAACTTTGATGGCTGCTGTAAAATGTTGTCATTGGGTAAAACTGGAAAATAGACTTTAAGGGGTTTAACAACACTGTAGGTGTATGCCGAAACGTAATACAGTTATGGTTGCAAGTATTTTACTGAGTAATGAGATTGGAGAGGTACAGTATGTACTGAAGGTGTGATATTATATTATTTATAAAGCACCTTTCAAAAACCAAGTATGGTCTATATACCACTAAAGAAAAAGAAAAAAAAAAGTAAAATTAAATATTTAAAAGGAGCATACAGGGCAACCAGACATACCGTAAGCCCTAATAAGTAGGTGAGTTTTGAGTTTAGACTTGAACAGGGTCAAAGAATGTGTGTCGCAGAGTTGGAGGAAGGTCATAACATGACAGTGGAGCAGCAACAGGAGAGGCAGACTGTGTCACGAAAAGTCTGAGATTTAGTCCCAGGCGCAGTGAGCAGAGGACTGGCCTCAACTGAGTGGGGCCCACAGGAGGCAAAGTAAACATGATGTACACGGAGATGTACAATGGGGCCAGATTGTTTAGAGTCTTAAAAGTCAACAATAACATTATATCATCGAATACATGACTTTATAAGCAACCAATGTAGAGACTTAAGTGTAGGAGTGATACGCTGCCAGTGTCTGGTGTGTGTTCGTAATCTACAGTAGTTGCCGATCTTTGGACATACAGTATTGCAGCTTCCTGAGAAGAGTGTTAGAGAGCACATAGAGAAAAGAGTGGCTGAAATCAACCCTTTGTTGTTATGAATGTGTGAATCAAACACTCGGTGTCGAACATTGATCGAAATTGCCTAATACGGGTAATATTTCTTAGGTGAAATAAAGATATCTTCATCATATTTTTAAGTTGGCACTCCAAAAACAGGAGAGGACCAACTGTGACTCTCAGATTCCTGGCTACAGCTGATGTGTGAATGGGGGAAGTCATCCACCTCACTGTGAAACCTTTGAGTTTATCCAGCTGAGATTTGCTGCCCACCAGTAAACGTTCTGTTTTGTCACTATTTAGCTTCAGGGAATTTTGGTGTCAACCAGAGCTTGAACTTGCGGAGACAAGAGATGAGTGATGGAGGCGGGAGATCGGAGTGGGAAAAGGATTAGTATAAATCTGAGTGTCGTCTGCATACCGATGAGACTGAAGACCTTGTCTGCATTTCATCTGACCGAGAGGAAGAATGTAAATAACAAGAAGCCATGGGCCCAAGACTGAACCCTGCGGAACACCGTGATTGACTGGGGCCATAGGGGATCTATGAGAACAAAGGGAAACAAATGCTGCCTGCCAGTCAGACAAGAAAGAACCAGTTAAAGACGGTAATGGACAAGAAGGTTTGCAAGCAATCGAGCAGCACTGAATGAATTACTGTATCAAAAGCTGCACTAAGACCCAGAAGCATACGGATACTTACAGCTTCCAAGCCAGATGTAAAAAGTTGATCATTTACAACCCTGATAAGAGCAGTCTTAGTACTATAAATAGAGCGAAAAGCAGACTAGAATGGTTCAAACAAATCATTAGGTGTCGTGTGAGCCTGTAATTGATGTGCAACTACATGTTCTAAAACCTATATGTGATAGGATCACTGAGAAATTGTAACTATAACATAATAATGTTTGATGTGTGCTTTAATTCTGCATAGCAGAATGTGTAGGAATGAGGCAGAGCTAATAAAAGTGAATTGGGAACAGACGGGTTTAGAGGTAGAAGAAAGATGATCGTGCTTCAGAAACAATGTTGGAATTCAACATGATTAGAACTGCTCACGGAGAGGGAGGAAAGAATATTGCCAGATGCAGAAATACTCAAGACAGTGTCCACTGCATGCAAGATACAGAATAGGGTAATTCTGCTGGGTAAGTACAAACATTTAGGTACCATGCAAATATGCAATATGTTCTCAGTTTATTAGCATTATTCAATCAATTTAATTCCCCTCAAAAGCATTTAGTTAGTAGTCTGTAGGTAATTTTCTTGACCATTTAAGTTTTTTCTAGTCCAGGGCAGAATGATTTATGCAGCATAAGGTTAGTCTGACATATGCAATGTTTATGTTGCAGATGGATATATGACAAAAAAGGCTTTGTTTTATTTAGTCCATTATTGTTTATTATTGCAGCTGTTAAACAAATTCAGTTTTTAGATTTCAAACATCATGACCTCCTGTCTGTGTAAATAACTCAGTCTAAGCATTCCTGCTGTTACGTTAGAATAATTCCAAAGTGGTCTGCCTGTCTATGAGCCAGGTCTGCTGATGGCCTCTTATTTAGGGGCATAACAATGGTCTGTAGCCCACAAAATGAAAAATTGAATGGAGGAAAATATATACTTATATCTACTAGTAACTGGAGTTATTGGCAGTTGATATTCAGGATAAACAACATGTAAAACCACTTTCAATAGCACCAGCTTCTATTTTCCAACTCATGTTCAGTGCGCCAATGCATTAATAATAAGGGAAGAACAGACCTTTCAAGCATGGACTTGTGTCAAAGTCGAATACCAGTATGTTAGTGGAGAAAAAAAAGATAAAAGAGCTTCGCAATTCGTCCTAAAATGATTCTGTAATATACTAAACACTGTAAACTCAACAAACTGTTAAATTAGTTTCAAAAAGTTAAAAGATTGATTTCTACTGGATTTTCGCTGATGGCATGCTGCACAAATTGTGTACTGCCAATGATCAGTTCAGACATACTGTAGGTATTTACGTTTTTACAGATGTATTACTCTGCATATGAACCATTTCTATGAGCACAACAGACAAAAGCTACATCAGTGCTCTTGCAATACAATGTACTAGTCAAAGAGTGATAGTTTAGGTGTGTGGAAAACACAGGCACTGTTCACATCAGTAATTACTTCCAGCTTGTGCAGTTGTTGGTTTTTTTTCTGGGGTCATGTAAGGGTTTTACATCCAGAAGGATAGAAGCCATTTTGTTATTAATTTGAATGTGCTCACTGCATGCAAAATTAGCTTGGAAGAACATTGCATAACCACTTCGACTGGATTGCAAGACAGCAAGGGTGTTAAAAAGAAAGACAGCTCTGCAGACTGATCCTGATCTACAGTACTCTGGGTTTGCTACCCTGAGACTAATGAGAGAAAGCACATGATGGCATGAGGTCATGTAGCAACATCAAACATCTCTTCATGACTTTAATGGGCTGGCCTGTCTTTACACTAGTAAGAATAGTCTGTGTGATATTCTTCACTCATTGCAAATAGGAATGAATTCAACACAGGATTAAGCCCCAGAAAACTAAATCTGGAGTGGATCTTGAGATTATCACTCAGATAT